CAATAGATCTTTTCCTGTCCTGACACTGCGAAGCATTCCAGAGGTAGAGAAAAGAAGAAGAAGAAGAAAAAAAAAAAGAAGAAGAACTGTAGCCGCAGCAACAGTGGCAGCAGCAATAGTAGTAGCAACATTAGATGTAACAAAATCGATTGAATCACAGGCAAATTAAGCATACCAAACCAGTAATTTCCAGCAATGCATTTGTTTATTTAATTCATATTATTTCAAATATATTATTATATTTTTTGCCGTTCAGTTAACAATAAAACTAATAATAATAAATTTTTTGTGCGCATTTAAACTGAGGCCAAACTCCTTGTAGCCTTTGCTTCGTAGAAAATTGTAAGATCGCTAAATACCCCCACTCCCTTTTTTCCCTTCCGGAGGGCTCCTCTGTTGTGTATTATTATTAACTTGTCACAAACTTCAGACAGAGACAGTCATTATTTTTTGGTCATGCTGTGAGAAGTATGGCAATGGAGGTGGAGGAGTCTCTCGTGGAACTTAGGCCGAGGCTGTTGAGGGGGCGGGGAGGGGGTTTGGGTTAGAGCCAGTTCTATATGCTCTGTGGTCATTAAAAGCGTTGTCGTCATGTAGCATATAACACACGACATAGCTACTGATGGCTTTGGAGACAAGACGAAGTGACACCCCTGTAACATAGACTAGTCCGTGTCACAGGTGAGAAAGCATAAATGAAAGGCAAATCACGCTATGTTTGGGCCGTAATAACAACCCTTGTTTTCTGATATTACTGACTATATCCGTAAAGATAGTTACGCGTTGCCCTTTGACTCCAAACAAACGCGAGATTGTTGCACTGACCTGGAGCAACACCGGAGCTTTTGCCGAGCTCTGTATTTGTCGTCTGAGTAATTTCCTTCCTACAAGGCGTGGACAGAGGGAACTCGGCGAAGTTTTGGTGTTGTAAAAAAACGTGTGTTGTTTTCACACTACTGGCATATATTACATTTTTTCCCCCAGAATTAAAGTGAGTTTGTTGTTGTTGGCAACTTCTCGTTTAGTTATTTCAACTAATTTCCTCTAGTCTCTGGCTAGTAAGTCACGGTAAGATAAAGATCGTACACGCCCATGTATATTGTTGCACACGTCAAAGATAAGATCCTTTGGCAGTTGGAAATCGAAATGAGTAGTCAGAGTAGCCTAACGGCGCTGCCCTGGCAAAACTTGGAGTTAAAAATCTACCCAAAATAGTTCAGGATCCGGTTCAGCCGGTTCTCCTTGCAATAACGGTCGCTACTTGGACGGCGACGGCCGCTTAGTCGGAGTTCAGCCCCCTGGCTGCAGTGCAATTACGTAGTGGACAAGGCACGAATCACAAAACACAATGAGTTCAACATGGCGTGTAGACCACGTGCTGCAACTCACATTAGCCTAACCCTAACCCAAACCCTAACCCTACCCCTAGCCCTAATTATGTCATTTGTGTCCTTCCCTCTTTTCCACTCCGTAATTGCACTGCTGCCAGGGGACTGAACTCTGACTAAGCAGCTGTCGCCGTCCAACTAGCGACCGTTATTGCAAGGAGAGCCCAGGATCCTCGCCGGTGCTATGAAGTTTGTGCACTGCGCTGTGTTTCTTCAGACTCAAGCTTGAGTAAGAAGTAGAACGGAGCACTTATGGGTTACCTTGTGCCATGATGTTGATCCGTTGTAATGTTTAAACCTTACCTCAGAGACACGATCATCATCAGTGAGCAATTTTACGCTTTACAGAACGTAGTAGCACTCATTTCGTCACACCCTTAAACTTCAAGTCTCTTTCTCTATCCAGTTCTCCAGCCCTATGTGCTTATGATCCCATGAACCATGAAGTTTACTCCAGCTAATATATTCTGACAGCAGAATATTATTACATTATGATAAATATTAATTGAATGTGCCAATCTAATCAAGTAATGGGGCAATTATCTCCCCTGTTGTCACACAAGCAGTGAATCTTATCAGAACTATTTTTTTGGCCAACACTATGCTATCAGTGCCAAACGTGGACACTTACATCTTCCAATGAACACAAAATTGTGACAACAGAGATGAAATGCCTTAGAAGAACTGCAGGAGTTTCAAGGAAAGACAGAATACGAAATCAGACGAATGCTAGGAATAAAGCCAGTCTTGCAGGTCATCAAAGAACAACAAATAAAGGGGTTTGGACACCTAATAAGAATGCCCTGTTACTATCTGCCACAGCGAGCCACACTTGTGACATATCAGAATGGCATTACCACCCCTTGGGCCTCTGATGCTAAACCCTCTGTGACTCAGAGCTTTAAATGTTGACCTGTTTTGTTGAACATCACTTGTACATGTTTGATTCTCGCCCTGGATGTGTTGGTTCTACAGACTGCAAACATAGAAGAGGAAATACTACCCACCCTACCCCGTTACATAATTAGGCAGATGTATGTGTATGCGAAGGGAGTCGGCACGGTGTTGGCGCCTAGACGCCCGCCTGCAGATCAAAAGGTTGCTGATAGAGCCCTCTTTTTTCAAAAATGACTTCGACTCCTAGGTCAACCCATCTTTGAGTGGGTACCAGATGCAGTTCAGGGAAGTAAAGGCGGCAGGCATGAGGCTGACCACATCACCCACCAAGTGCTGATTGGTCTTTAAAGATAAAGGTTTAGCCCTATATGCCCAATATGCCTAAAGATGTGGAAAAGGGTCCTTCACTTTACTTATGTATATGCAAATACATATACGTGCATTCCCACGTGGGCATGTAGACGTGTATGTCATGTGTATATATATATGTAACTCTTCATCTATGTCTCTATGTATGTGTAGGAGTGTATGTTGCACACCAGCCCCCTCCCCAACAACCCTCACTAAGTATTAGGGTACTGGTCTAATCCACTAGTTTTAGGGCAATTAGCACTAAGAAACCAGATCACAAATATAACTTATACTGCTCACAGGAGGTTGAATGTGGTCAATTTTTGTGTGGTGTGCATAGAAGATGGATCGATAACAGCCCACCTGGTCTTTGCAGCCATGGCTGATAGCCTGAAGAGCACTGGTCAAGATTTGTAGTTTAACTTCTTATGTCCCTTAGTGTCTCCGATTATTTACTGCTTTTAAGCTAAACATTTTGGGGTAGAATGTTGAATTAAGAATCAATATCACAGCACTCAAGACACTCCCATAAGTACTCCATCCCTATCTTCAGAAGCAAGCAAAGAGGTCCAATCCTTGTGGTACCAGTAACTGTCTGATTGTACATCCGTTTCACTTTTCTATTGAGTGTTGAGCCTCAGCCAGATCCACTGGTACTCAGTTCTTCTTAGACTGTAATGATCTTTTTGTGGCCCATTTCAGAGATCAGAGTAGGGAAAAGGGCATCCTCTCTGTTCACTTGCTCCCAAAGGGCCCCGACAACATCTAGCTTGTCATACATAAGTTCATCTCCAAGTGGTACAGAAGCAGCCAGCCTATCTGCCTACTCATTCCCTATTACACCAGCATTACCAGGGCAAAATATCCAAAGGACGCTAACTACCCATGACCTTTGAAGCGATTCTTGTAACTCTACATGGAGCATGCCTGTCTCCACCGTTCTCAGCATGTTCTGTGAGTCACTTACAATTACAACATGAGTGTACAGTTGATTCTGAAGCCAGCTGAAGGCAGAAGTGACTTTGGGGTACAATGAGTTAAAGTAATGACAGCTGTTACTGTTGTTAAACTCAGCATGCAGTAAATACAAAATGAAGATAAATGCAAACAAAACCGAAACAATGCAAGTTAGTAGAACCCCTGGCCCACTACACACACTGTTGAATGGTTCTGCTCTGAATCAAGTTAGGGAGTTTAAATATCTAAGAAGTATGATCACGGAAGATGGTAGAATTGATAGAGAAATAGAAACCAGATGTCAGAAAGCAAGTGCACATATAGCAATTGTCACCATTATTAAGACACCCAAGCATAACTATGAGTGCAAAGAGATGATTATGAACAGTATATTTTTTCCAACATTAAGCTACCAGTGCCAAACATGGACACTATCTAAAGCCCATGTATGCGAAATCAGCGCCTGTGAGATGAGATGCCTGAGAAAAGCAGCCAACAAATTGTGGGAACAACACACAGCGGATTAAGTGGTTAAGCCATCTTGGTAGTGTGCAACAAGATCAAATACCAATGCAAGCACTACATCTCAGAAGATCAGCTACAAGAGCAAGAGGACAGCTGCGGAAATTATGGATCGACAACATTAAAGACACTCTACATCTTCATGTCATGGCAATAACCAGTGTCAGCCAGCGTGCACTGGATCACAAATGATTCCTCCCCACGAGGCTTAACAGCAGAAATGGTTCTTGATGGTGATGAATGACAACTTGGAATCAGAAGAGTTATCAGTGCCATTCTTCTGTATTTTTCAGATATCTGCTGCCTCGTGCTAAGGACCTGCAAACTGAAATCAGAAAGATCTTTAGCTGTTTTTCTTTGGATTGCTGACAATTTTTGAGACCATAGGCAATGTGGTTATAAGATCAATTCTGCTAGCTGATTCTGTTGACAAATTCCCTTTCATGATGATTAATATGATTCCTAGGTAGAGGTGGCATATTACTGTTTTTTTTTTTTTTTTCTAATTTATTTGTAAAATACAGTTGGGGTGATAGACCAGTTTAGGAGTAAAAAGAAATACAAGGGTGAACAGGCACATAACGTAAAGCAGCAAACAGGAGCAAAGTGAAATTTTTTTTTTTAAAGCAATTTTGATGAAAAGCTATATAATAATAGCAGAGTTAAAGAGCAGTTTTGGTGTGTAAAGTGTTAAGACAAGAGCAGGGAGACAGAGCAGTTTTGGTGTGTAAAGTGTTAAGACAAGAGCAGGGAGACAGAGCAGTTTTGGTGTGTAAAGTGGAAAGACAAGAGCAGGGAGACAGAGCAGTTTTGGTGTGTAAAGTTTTAAGACAAGAGCAGGGAGACAGAGCAGTTTTGGTGCGTATAAAGAACTTATTTACTAATATGACTGAGGAAACTCAGGCTTTAGCACTTACGAATTGTTGTGGTGTGTTAGTGGACTCATTTAAAAGTGGATTGTTCGATGAAAATTTACAGGAGCAGCAAGATGAGGTAAGGATGCAATTTCACATTTACTGTCTGCCTGTCTGGTTTTTTTCTTTGTCCATCTCTCTTTATCTAAGTCAGTTTTTTCATCCATTCTTCCATCCATAACAAACACCTACTCACTTCACTGTCTCTCACAGGTAGGGCACGTGGTTCAGGAGACGACTGGGAATTGGTAACGTTAAAAAGATTACAAGAACTTCGGGTCAAAAAAAGATATTGCCCAATATGGACACCATACCGGTAGTAAAAGAACCCTTTTCTATACCTTTATGCATACTGTTCATATAGGGTGAACCTATATTTTGTAGACCAATCAGCACTAGATGGGTAATGTCATCAGCATGACGCTGCCATTTTTTCGGACTGTAGCTGAGACCCACTCAAGACCTGGTCGACCTTGGAGCCAGAGTAATTTTTTGTTTCTTCAAGTCAAAACCCATGACTTTCCGATCTGCAGATGAACATCTAGCCACTTTTACCATGGAGACTCCCCTGTTCATGTAGCCAATGAAGAATAGTAAACCAGCATGAAACTGCTGTTTTCTGTCGCCACACTTACTTACTTACTTAGTCGCTCCTCTTCTACCTTGGGGTGTAGAGGTTTGCCAGAGAGATCGCCAGACGTCTCTATCAGCAGTTTTCTTTCTGGCTTTGTTCCATTCCACTCCTCTGTCAGTCAGGGACTGTCGGATGTTGTCTTCCCAGCGCACCCTGGGTCGTCCCGGAGGTCTGGTTCCCTGGTTCTTAGCCTCCCATGCTTGCCATGGTGGCCGATTTTCTCCCATTCTGCACACATGTCCAAACCATCGTAACTGTGACTGATCCACTCGGGTTAGTAAGGGCTGGGTATCAAGATCTTGACGTATTGTCTGATTGCGGACTTTGTCCCTTCTTGTCACTTGGACCACCTTTCTCAGGTATCTCATTTCCGAGGCCTGCAGCTGGCTTCTGTGAGCTGTTGTCATTGCCCATGACTCACACCCATAGGTCAGGACTGGTACATAGGTAGAGCGGTAAACAGCCATTTTCGTCCTGTTGCCAATGTCTCTTTTGCTAAGAAACCCTCGGTTTATGGCCTGGAAGAGTCTCCCAGCAGCTGCTTTTCGTGTAGCCAGCTCAGTCTTAATGCCTCCATTTTGGTCTAATACAACTCCAAGGTATTTGAACTGGTTAACCTGCTCCAACGCATACTGACCCATCATGATCTGGTGTTTCTTCTCCTCTCTTGAGATCACCATGGTTTTAGTTTTGGAGACACTGATGGTCATCCCTTTCTTTTCGAGCTCTTCCTTCCAGACAAGTAAGTTGGACTGAAGGTGTGCCTCTGATTTAGCTATCAGGGCCACATCGTCTGCAAAAGCCAGCTCTGATATACAGATTGGTCTCATCTTCCAGTACCCTACAGAGTACTTCTTTGTCTTTTCCTTACAGGTCTTGATGACATCATCCATCATAAGAATGAAGAGGTAAGGTGAGAGAATATCACCTTGTCTAACACCGCTGGTGGTCTTAAATTCTTCTGACTTTTGGTCTGCTGTTCTTACATAATTTCTGCACTTTTTATGTAGAAACTCTGTATTGCACTGATCAGGGGTGCTGGGATGTTTTTCCCTGCCAAGCAGTCCCAGAGCTTGTTCCAGGGTACCTTGTCAAATGCCTTTTCCAGATCCAAAAAACATAAGGGAATCTCACTCTTATATTCCAGGGCTTTTTCACTCATCTGTCTCAGTGTGAAGATAAGGTCTTGAGTACTTCGGTTTGCTCTGAAGCCGCACTGGGCCTCGTCCAGCTGTGGCTCTACCAGACTTCTAAGTCTCTGCTCAAGAATTCTAGAGTAACTTTTACCGGGAATGCTGAGGAGGGATATGCCTCTGTGGTTTTCACATTGTCTGTTATCACCTTTTTTAAATATAGGTATAATGATGGCAATCTCCTAATCTTTTGGTATAGTTTTGCTACACCAGGCTGCCTGGAGAACCTTCAGTAGAAGGCGCTCACCTTCGACTCCCATATATTTGACCATCTCTGGTGTTATACCATCATGACCTGCTGCTTTTCCCAGCTTAATCTTCTCAATAGCTGCCTTCAATTCTTCCATCCTGATGTTATCTTCCCCATGATTGAATTCCTTCTCAGCAGTGAGGTCCATTATTTCTGGGTCATGACTTCCCTCAGCGCCGAGGAGCTCTGAGAAGTATTCTTTCCATCTGCCCATGATATCATTTGTAGAAGTAAGCAGAGCCCCTTCCTTGTCTTTTATGAATTTAAGTGGGCACTCTTTCTCCTTCCTCATGTTCTTAAGGGTCTTGTAGAACAGTTTTTGGTTTTCTCTTGCATTCTTTTCCAACTTTTCTCCAAACTCTTCCCATGATTTCTGTTTTGCTTTAAGCACAATATTTTTGGTCTCTGTTCTGAGTGCCACATATTGTTTATATTTTTCTATTTCTTCAGCTGTGTTCCTGGCTGCCAGGTATTGCTTCCATGCCCTTTTCTTTTCTCCTATTTTCAGTTTGACTTCTTCTGTCCACCAAGGTGTCCTGTGTCCCGGCCTTCCACTTGGGACTTCACCACATGCTTCTACTGCAGCTGCTGTGAGGATATTCTTGAATCTGCACCAGAGAGTTTCAGTGTCCTCTGATGATTCTTCTTCAGTTCCTATTGCTTTCACTATAAGCTCCTGGTATCTAGCCTTAATATCTGGCTCTCTTAGCTTGTATGCTTTAATCCTCATCCCTTCTTGGTTGCTTGGTTTCTTGCATAGTTGTCGGTGTTGCCTTGTTGGAGCATTTCTTTCAGTTGTTCTCTTTATTGTGACCAGATAGTGGTCACTTCCAATCTCTGGTCCTCTCATGACTCTGGCATCTCTCACAAACTTGAATGAACTTTTCCTAACTATGGCGTAGTCAATGATGGATTTTTCATTCTTTGAAGGTTCACATCTTGTGTATGCATGTATACGCTTGTGGGGGAATTTTGTGTTTGTAATGACAAGGTTCTGTTCCCTGCAGAATCTGAGAAGTCGCTTGCCATTATCATTCAAAACATCTTCACCATATCTCCCGATCACTCCACCCCATCTAGAGTGATCATTTCCTACTCTGGCATTTAGATCTCCTAGGAGGATAATTTCATCGTGACAGTCATCTATGGTCTTTTGGAGCAGTTCAAAGAATTCTTCTTTAACATCTACTCGCTCATCTTCATTTGGCCCGTACACAATGACAAAATTGACAATTTTATCTTCTTCTTTCAGATCTAACACCATTATTCGCTCTGAGATGAATTTCCATCCCTTGATGTTACTAACTTGATTCCTGGCCACAATACAGCCAACACCTCCCTTGGCTCTCTCCGTCATAGGGACACCACTGTAGAGCAGCATACTTCCATCGTGATCTGTGATTCCTTGCCCCTTTTTCTTGGTTTCAGTCAGAGCCAAGACTCCTAATTTTGCTTTCCTCATCTCCCCTACTAACTCGTTTTCCTTTCCGTTAATGCCTCTTATATTCCATGTTCCATAAATCGTAGTCCGTAAGCCATGCCAGTTCGTCGCCGTTAAGATCCGTCCGGTTTTCTCTCTGTAGTTACTTGTAATCGTGGTTTAAGGCAAACAGGTGATTGGCCTGTTGTGCCTTTGCATGGTGGAGGGGCTGCCTCCTTGCGGCCTCCATGCAGGCCGTCTGGCTGATTCACGGTTACCCACTACTTCCGGAGACGCATGAAGCACTCAGGTTCAGCCAGACCCTCCTCCTTTTACAGCCGGGCTTGGGACCGGTCTTAGCGGAGTTCTGTCGCCACACACGGAGGGATATACTGAAGATGGGATCCAAGCACCTATGGACTTGTCCAATGTGCAGTGAGAATAATCAGTCGATTAACTATCTCTCTCTCTTTCTGTCTCTGTCTCTTTCTCTCTCTCTCTGTGTCTTTTTGTTGTTGTTGTTGTATGTCTCAGATCTATGTGTCCTGTCTGTCCTCCTTTCTTTTGCACATATAATAGGTGCAGTGGGTCAAGAGATATGCCGGCCAGCACTGCCACTATGTCAGTGAGACAAGCTGTCAAAAATGCCAATAAAGACTAAGTTAAACAAAACTAGTTCACCATCTGAGCTGACATCAAAACAAACTAAAACAAGAAAGGTCAATGGATGGAAAAGAAAAGGCGTGCACAAATACATCCAGACATCTTTATCAACTGAAAAACCAAAAAACAACAACAACAAACTAAGCAAAAGGAAATAAATAACTTTTTAAAGATAATAAGTAACTTTTTAAAGAAAGTAGATAAAGATATGCTGAACATTTATCCCTGAGTATGTGCTAACTACAAATTAGGAAAGTACATAAAACCATATTTGGGACACGTGGAAAAGAATAAATCAGTCTTCGTGGGAAGTTTTCAACTGAATGAGTAAACAGTTTGAGAACGAGCTGCATACATATGTCCGGCTTGTAACTGACTCACAAAGCGTGTTAAGAAAGAAAGGTGGAGACAGGCATGCTTCATGCAGAGTGGCAAGCATAGTAACAGAGGTCTTGGGAAGTTAGTGCTGTTTTAATATTTTCTCTGGGGCATGCAGGAGTGTTGGAAAATGAACAGACAGACAAACTGGTTAGTTCTGTACCAGTGGGTGGTGAATGCACACATGACAAGCTAGATATGGTCAAGGCCCTTTTGGAGCAATTGAAAAATACAAAGGTTTGAGTAGATCATTATGGTCTGGAGAGAATCGCTAGTTAGTTAGTCAGTCAGTCAGTCAGTTAGTTAGTCAGTCAGTCAGTCAGTCAGTTAGTTAGTTAGTTAGTTAGTTAGTTAGTTAGTCAGTCAGTTAGTTAGTTAGTCAGTCAGTCAGTTATTTAGTTAGTCAGTTAGTTAGTTAGTTAGTTAGTCAGTTAGTTAGTTAGTTAGTTAGTTAGTTAGTTAGTTAGTTAGTTAGTTAGTTAGTCAGTCAGTCAGTTAGTTAGTTAGTCAGTCAGTCAGTCAGTCAGTCAGTTAGTTAGTTAGTTAGTTAGTTAGTTAGTTAGTTAGTCAGTCAGTTAGTTAGTTAGATAGTTAGTTAGTCAGTCAGTTAGTTAGTCAGTCAGTCAGTCAGTTAGTTAGTTAGTTAGTCAGTCAGTCAGTTAGTTAGTTAGTTAGTCAGTCAGTCAGTTAGTTAGTCAGTCAGTCAGTCAGTTAGTTAGTTAGTTAGTTAGTTAGACAAATTATCCTCATTGCACATCAAACCATCCAGTCCATAACTGTTCAGATCCCCTCCTCATTAAATCCTGCAGTGTGTAGCGGCTGACGACACCAGTCCTGGGCTGGTTTCATATTCTTCTTTGGTTTCCCGCACAGTTTTAACATGCTGTACTTGCAGTCTGGTCATGGTTGTGGATTCACAGTCATCACTTGGTTCTCACAAACGTCTCATTTTATGTAGAGCATTCAGTATTTCAGCAAGGTCCATGGCATGCCAGTCATGGAGAGAATGGTACAGCTATGTAAACAGGAGAGATCTGTTTGGCATTTGACATTCTACACTCAGAAAAAAGAAAAGACAGACATATAATCAGCTACTGACACCATCAGAATGGGAACTCTTCACTAACTGCTGAAGGTGTGGACAAAGTGCTTATGGGAATGTCCTGTGTGCTGTGATGCCAATTGTTTTGCTCAACACTAAGTTAACAGAAAACAATATGAATATTCCAGGAAAATTATGGGGGGTTGGTTATCACTGTCGGGTTGGATCAGTCAGCAAACTATAACTTTAATTTATATAGACGCAGAATCTTTGTGGCCGTAGAAACAGTATAAAAACAGATAGACATGTATTTTTCTTCACTCATAGAAAGTGGTAGAGAGATAGAAGGATGTACTAGACAACATAAAAATAAAAAGCTGTAGTTGCAATGCCGGGAATTAAACCCTTCACCTCCAAATGACAACTTCCTAAAGAAACAAGTTTACATCGATGCATGGCCAACTCGACACCCATTTCTGTTATCAAAATACACATATTCTCACACTGAGGCATCGTCATCATTTGGAGGTCTTCTTCTTCTCTTCCACCTTGTACCTCAGCAAAGTGTTGGGGGAGGGGAGATGCAACATTCATTGATGAGCTCTGCCAAGAGCACTATTAGGATTGATGTTCATTTCTATAAGGCTGTTCTTAATGCCATCACTCCATCTTTTCCAAGGCCTTCCACTCGCTCTATACCCGTTCTAAAGTTTTAGTGTGGCTCGCTGTACCAGGGCATTCTTGTTAGGTGTCCAAACCACTTCATTTGTTGTTCTTTGATGACTTGTAAGACTGGAGGTGACAGGTTTAATAATAGTCATGGGAAGTGTAGCTAGGTTTATGAAACTAATTTATTTGCAGATCTGTAATTTTCTATTTGATTAGGTTCTGGCCCTGCAAGCAATCTTTAACACTGAGGATGAACAGAGGTTAATGATATTATCTGAGGTCAGCAAAGATAAGGAGGGGTTATTCTCACTACAGGTATGTCATAAAGTAATGGAATGAGATATCATTAAGATATCAGTTTGAAGTTTGAACAATGGATCAACAGCATGGCACACGGGTTTTAACCCATAAGTGCTTCATTCTTCTTCTAACTCAAGTCTGAGTCTGAAAAAACTCGGCACAGTGCACAGACTCTGTAGCACCGGCGAAGATCCTGAAATACTTTGGGAAGATTTTAAACTCCAAATTTTGCCCGGGCAGAGGCCATTAGGCTACTCTTTTCATTTTCCAACTGCTAAGATATTTTTTACGTGCGCACCAATGCACATGGGCGTCTGATCTCACTACCCAGAGACCTGGGGGAATTACTAGAAGTCCAAGTCCACATGAACAAATCCCAGCCCTTACAGGGGATTGAACCTGGAACTTCTAGCACTCGAGGTGGAAACCATGCCTTGAGACCATGCAACCTTATCAAGATATCATCATCTACTAAACAATTGGTCATTAGTTGGACAATCACCTAAATACACACCACTAGTAAACAACATCCTGTCTTGAAAACTGAAATATTTTTGCCATATTAAGTGCCGTGGGGGGATTGGAAAAAATAACAGCAGAAGGCATGGTACCAGGGAAGAGGGGCAGAGGCTGACCAGCATGTAGGTGGGCACGGGATGTAAGCGACTCCTTGGGTAGGAAAGTGCACGAGGTGGGATAGCTGGCAGGAGGTCAAGTTTTTTTTTTTTTTTTTTCAGGAAGACTGTAATGAGATCTGCTAACATCATCATCACTGTCATCATCATCATTTGTTGTCACTGATGTCTTGTAGTTTATCCCTCCTCCATTCTTTTCTGTCTAGTCAGCCTTTTCCAAGAACATCACATTTTCACAAACATTTTGTTGTTGTCTTTATGCCAGCTGATTGTGTTTTAATTGTACACTTTGCACGAGAAACATATTAGAGCTGTCGCTCATCAAAGTTTGACTATCGATGACTGAAACAAGTCTACTTCTAAATTTTCATTGTGTAGCTTCGGATAAATCTGATAAACTTGTGTTTGTTTTAAATTTGAGGCTTCTGAAGCCATAAATCTTGTTGGCATGCATGAAAAAGTATGCTCGGAGGCCATATTGTTTTCAAACAGACACAACGAAAAGGAAATACCATTCAGACCTGCCGGTTTTTATTTTTATACTGGCCAGTGTTCAATTAAATATCTGTACACATACACACCGACTGGACAGCTAGGTAGTAACCAATTAGTGCATAATGCATTCTTTGAGACTCATAGAGTTAAAGACATTAACTGAAAACTTTGATAAGGATGCAAAAAAAAAGCTGATTGAGTTCTCGTTTGACGTCAATCTTGTATTCACACATATAATACAATCATTGTTTGTTAGATTTCACTCTAAAATGAAAATTCATACTTGAGTTTTAGAGTTATTAGATTTTTTTGGTCCTTTTTGTTTTGTTTTTTGAAAAGAGTCAAGTTCTGTCAGGAAATGAACCCACAACCTTCAGATCCACAGGTGAGCATTTAGCCACTACACCACAGTGGGTCCCCCATTTGCTATGGATGTTTTGAAATGGTGTTCCTGAATTCTGGCCTTCCTTCATCTGATTTTATTTGTATTGCCTGTGTAGATTACCATCTGCCCTAAAGCAAATGACCTGATTCAAGTGAACCTAGTTCTGCCTTCTGGACAAGAGGAGGACGTAGCTGCTGCTTCTGCTGCTCCTGCCAAGGAGTTGAATCCACCAGCACTAGGGCCCGATGTCCCGTTGAACAGATCTGTTTCTGGTGAGTGTATGGTGCTCTTGAGTGAGTGTTTCTGTTGGTGACATACTTCTTCTTCTTCAGTATTCCGAGCCCTTGAGATTCATTTCTGCAGATATCACCTGCCTCCATTCATCTCTTTGGTTGGCCTTCTCTGTCCATTTGGTGACACCAAGTGTTTGCAGGTCTCTGTTTAAATCCATCCAAAATCAAGGCTTAGATATCTGCTTCATGACAAGATAAAGTTTTACAAAGGTAGGGTGTCTGCCCCATGCTTCAACCCCCAACCTAGAGGACCTGGTGTCTCTTTGTCTGTTCTATATCCTTTGACCTTTCCGGCTTGGGAAGGCGGGCTATGCTACCGCTGGATTAGCTCTCAGGGTCTTTGAGAAATGCAAGGCCCCCCCCCCCCCTTTCCACCATGGCAAGGTGGAGACACCTTCAGGGGAGCTTGAGTAGGATATGCAGTGTGTAAATGGTAAATGTAGCCACATAGGAGATTTTGGGAGGATGGCGAGATAACAGCTTGTTGCTTGCCTTCCAACATGAAGGTGTCGTGTTTGAATCTGCATCGAGCCTGATAAAAAAAAAAAAAAAACATTGATGACATTGGTTCCCAGGTTGATCCAGTCTAACAAAAAAGTACCAAGAAAAGTCCTGGGAAGAAAAGGCAGCTGGCATCATGTTGACTACATCACGAGCCAACTGTCTGTTGGTCCACATAAATATGAGTCTAGAATCGTATGGCCAGTATGGGGTATTGCCACCTCAGTGTGCTGACCGGTTGCTAGGGGTTTTTCATATGTAAGACATGGATGACATTCTGAACACACACAATTGGTAACAAGTAGATGATATCCAGTTATTTTCTTTATTACACTTTCACAGGTGATCTGGTCCAGTCAGTGTCTACTATTAGCTGGCAGGTCCAGCAAGATATGATGACATTTATCAAGCACATACTTGACGTCTACTCCCTTCCACACTGGTTACCTTTTTTAGTCATGTTTCCTTACACACGCAATACACACAATGGTTGATCCAGCAGCTCTGATCATGGCGGATAGACTCCTTAGCCAGTTGGAACGTGTCAGCTACCACTTTGGATTAGGCTGTCATGAAGCTGCCATTTGGTTGTCTTCTCATGGAACAGAATCTTCTACAATGTCACATTTACTCGTCTATCAGATACCACCTTTCACGCCAGCTGCCAAACACATACTAACTGATTAGATCTTGGTCTAACCTTATAACCCTTATTCTGGGTTTCACGTGCTGGTCTGAGCCTTGTTTGTATATCTCGTGTTTCTATGAGCATTCATATTCCCATGTATTTCTCTCTCATCTCGTTCCCTCCTATTTTATTGTTTAGAGAATTCCCATGGGAAAACACCAACATTACACAGTGCAACACTAGTGTAAGAGGAGTCCTTTACATAAGAAAAAGTTTGTGTCTGGCCTTTACATTTTCTAGACCATGTCATCTGCTGCCCATCAGTTCCCTTCTTTATCATCTTTCCATCTCATGTTTTAGAAAATTCTGAAAGTTCATCTTCATTTTCACTAGCTGTAAATTCTAGTGGAAGGTCCTGAAGGTTCTTCTACTTCTGGACTTAAGTTGTGTTCCGGAACTTGAGTTTTTCATACACTTCCATTTTATAGATCTGGCTTATCTAAACCTTTATAATTTGTGTTTAGACTGATATATTTTCATGAAATATATCGAACATTGCTATGCATCTTGTGAGTAATATGTAGAATCTAAATTATTCAGGCTGGCATTGGAGAGGGTCATTTCCTGTGAAATACTTATCACCGCTGTATCTGCATTCCACGCTGCCACCATCATACCCATCCCAGAATCCTCCACAGTTTCACCTTTCTTGTGGTTGGCTCAGCAAGGACCAGCTGACCTCATTAAGTCATGAAATGGAAAACTTGTGGGCAGAGGGCAGCCAGATGCCCATCTTGTTCACTTGGGTCAACTGGCTGGAGGACAATGTTCTGAGGCAAGTACAGACTGTTCATGAATTTCTTTAAGTTGTTCATGAGCATTTTTGCTCCATTTGTAGACTGAAAGGATATAGTTTCATCACCCAGCTTCTGAGTTGAGTGCATGGTGTGACACTGTGAGCTGCAGATTTCATTTGGAATGTTTTTTGACTGTGACCAACACAATGGTGTGAATTGTGGATTCAGAAAATGGCGCGATGCATGTTGTCACAATATTGGTGGTGCAATTATGTGATTAAAATTAATCGTGTGTGCAACTGCTTATCTGTTGGTGACTTCTGCTACCATCCATGATGAACTGCATTTCTAATGTCGGACTTTTTGTATTAGCACTTCGGATGGCTACTGTATGCTTTTAATGCGTGTTTATGCCAGATATGCTGAGACAGCAGTGTTTTTTATTGGCACAGAAGCGGAGCAACTATGGGGTGACCCATTTGCTATGAAGCTGAAACTCTGATTACCAGATTACCAGGTGAAAAAAACATTTACTTGCATCAAAGATATGATTTTTAAGAAATATTCAAAAAATATCCTGGAGGGATAGAAAAACAAATGAAGCAGTCCTCATCGAGGCAGATGAAAGTTGTATACTTGTTAGAGAAATTTGACATAGACAGTAGTTGTTTTTTTGACAAGTTATGAGAAGAAATAGACTTGAAAACTTGGTAAAAAAACTGGCAGGATTGATGATAGAAGGAGAGCAGGAGGAAGGCAAAGAGATGAATACCTGAATGGCCTGGCCACATGGATGGGGTAAGATGAAAACACTGACCTGATCTGTGATCCTGGTGATTGTGTGAGATGGTGGAAAAAAAACAGCCTAGGCTTAACGGTACTGCACTTGATGATGATGATGTTTATGTTCTGAGGTAAGTCCAGATCATGTATGAGTTTTTTTCAGCATATATTGTTCTTGTTCTGAGGTTCAGAGTTTCTTTAAACATAAATGTTTTCAACATGAATTGCTCAATACTGATCGTTCAGAATTTCTTTCTAAGCAAATTATTCATTTTCGGAGGTAATTACTCAGGTTCAGAATCTATTTCAACATACATTGTTTATTTTGTGAGGTAATAAAAAATCATTTGTGAAAATTATGTCCAAACTCTTGAGGTAAATTGCTGCAGATATCACCTGCATGCTTGTATCACTGTGCTTGCTTCATCTTTTTCTGGAAGTGACTCCAAGTGTTTGTAATTGTGCCTGGATATTATCTCTCCACCATCTTCGTGGTCTACTCCAGTTCAGCTCACTTGTATACACTGTGTTTGCCACTCTGTCATCTACAATTCTCTCTATATTTCCCAGCCATTTTGTGTCTGTTTGAAGTTTGAACAACGGATCAACATCACGGGTAGTAACCCATAAGTGCTTCGTTTTTCTTCTAACTAAAGTCTGAGTCCGAAAAAGCTCAGCACAGTGCATAGACTCTGTAGCACCGGTGAGGATCCTGCAAGATCTGTAAGATCTCAGACCTAAAAAGCAAAAACTTTTCCCTAAAGCTTCTTCTTCTTCTTTGTTCCCCAGCTGTAGGCTCTAGTGGAACGCCCTGGTTATTCATCCATTTGGATTTTGGCTTTGTGCCAGGGTCTGAGTTTTGTATGTACATCCGTTTTACTGGCTGATTTATGTGCAGTTGATTGTTCTTTGCTGCTCGGGCAGATGTACTTCGACTTTGAAGGAAGCTCTCAATTAGTTGACTCTTACTTTTTAAGTAGGCAGTGAGTCTTTTTTTGTTCTTTTTTCCCCCCACAATGGAGCCCTGGAATCCACACAGGATTCCCTAATGTTGACTGGTACTTTTGGTGAGATGTTCCTATCTGGCAGCTCTAGGTTGTACCCCTATATCCAGTCTAGCTTGCAATCTATTCCTCCATTCCATTATGCCCTGGGCAGTCTCTTTGATATTATGGATAAAATCTTGTGCCCGATTGGTCTATAAAAAATAGGTCTAGCCCTATATGCCCTATTCTTGTATTTGTCTAGCCCTATATGCCCTATACGCCTAAAGGCGTGGAAAAGGGTCCTTTACTTTTATTTTTTTTTACCTTTGATATCTCTCATCAGTGTTCATTCTAGGATTTTATTTGTGTGTTCCAGCTTTTTCCAATCCCTTTTTTTTATCATTTTATTCCTGTTTGTTGATTCTCTGCCCATTTCTTCTCAGCACCATCTTTTTTTCTTTCTTAACTCCCCAGATATTTATCTTATTTCTTCATTCCTCTTGAATTCATCCCATTTTATGTTTAATATTTTCTTTAGACTTTTTTTCCAAATGATTTTAACTTTCATTCTTTCGTGGTTCATCAGCTTTCACTGGCACATGTAAGTGTGTCATAATTTTGTTCATATTTCTTTGGCCATCAATATTGCTATCTAAATATATAAATTGATCTGTTATTTTAATTCTGTTTGTCTCTAGTGTTACAGCTGTTTGATCTGTTATTGTTCAGTATATTTGCACAGGGATATGGGTTTATATTTGTTACTGTAATTACCTTTATATGTGTAAAATTTGATGACTTTAACTTTATAGTTTTCAATCTTGTAACATCCCAGACATCTTGGAATTACTGACCAGCTTGTGTTGCAGCCATCTATACCAGATACGGAGGTCGAGGAGGAGACAAACATAGTGCCCTATATTGAGAATATGAATGAGGTTATTGCTGATATGATCCGGTAGGTCTGACATATCAGTTAAGAAGAGTTGCATATCTGTAGTGTCAGAAAGTTAAAGATAAAAGAAATTGTATATGTGTTGGTAAGTCAGTCATGGTTGATAAGACAAGTTGATCTGGGAAGTTAACCTGGTCAAGAAATGCTCGATAAAGTGTCGGCCGAAAGCTGAAAATATCACAGCTTCGCTGTAAACAGAACCAACGCATTTATATCACTTGGATGAATGAAAAGAAAAACCAGAAGTTATATGTGTTTCTTTTGTCAGTATCTCCCCTAGTATCTCTGTGCAGCGTGAATCCTCGCAGGTGCTACAGAGCCTGTGCACTGTGCTGAGCTTCTTCGGGCTCAGACTTGAGTTAGAGGAAGAACAGAGTTGTTCAAAACCTCAAAATCTGTCACTATCTGCTGTGTGCCACTAGGCGCCACACTTTAACTGATGATAGGTAGCTGAGCCAGGGCCTGCTCACTTGCTTAGTATTCTGTGTTTTTGTGAAGCTTTGATTGTCAGTGACTCCTGCAAACCATCTTCTTCTACCTCTCTTTTATTTCTTAGGGGGCTGCATGCTCTCGAGGCATGGTGTCCACCTTGAGTGCTAGAGGTTCCGGGTTCAATCCCCGGTAAGGGCTGGGATTTTTTCACGTGGACTTGGACTTCTAGTAATTTCCCCTGGTCTCTGGGTAGTGAGATCGGATGCCCGTGTGCATTGTTGCACACATAAAAAATTCCTTGGCAGTTGGAAGTCAAAAAGAGTAGCCTAATGGCACTGCCCGGGCACAATTTGGAGCTAAAAAATCTACCCAAAGTACTTCAGGATCCTTGCCTGTTCTATAGAGCCTGTGGACTGTGCTGAGCTTCTTTGGACTCAGACTTGAGTTAGAAGAAAGAACATAGCACTTATGGGTTACTACCTGTGTGCCATGATGTTGATCCGTTGTTCAAACCTCAAAACCTCAGGCCTTTATTTCTTTGTGTAGGATGTAAGACCCCTTCGTTTGTACAGTTTTTAGTCTAAGCCACAATACACTGCGTCCCGTCCCTTGATTTTCTCACTAAACAAGTGGGTAGAGTTCCTGTCAATTTCTGGATCATGACCCGTTTGCTGCCTGCTACAACTTATGTTTATGTTAAATCGCCTGTTATCACCTGCTCCAGATATTACATTACTTCTCGTCCTTTTTAGGATGAAATTTTTCGTTTTTTGAAGCCCTACTCTGGCTCTTGCTAGGGGCCGCAATATAGGCAGGCCATAAATATAGCTTAAAGGCTGAACGCGTTTTCTGGGACCTCTCCACGGTGATCCTCATCCACATGGTGGCACATTGTGTCATCAAGTGTTTATTGCTTGTGTGATGTCCTGGTGGGGTAGAAAGTCAGTCAGTCATCACCTGCTCTTCAACATAACTGGACACCGCCCTACAGTTGACAGGTCGCCGTTCCAGTCCTTCCTCGTTCACTATATTAGTTCAAAATATAATTGTTTCAGCTGACAGCTCCCGAGTCTCCGTTGTTGAGCTCCCATATCTGTGATGTTGCATTCTTTATATTCTAATTAGACACCTAGAAGTTAAGGTTGTCTTCTCGTTCAGATGGTGAAGACAGACATATATTGACGTGACACCAACTGACATTTTTTCTCTTTTTTGTAGTTCTGACAATAATGTCGTCTAGTCACTGTCTTCTGTTCTCACTCGTTGAACTAGGATCAGTCATCAATGATTACACGCACATGGTCTTCAAATTATTATTAACCTTGCATTACAGTAGTTTCATTCTTGTGAAAGATAAGCGAAGGACTTGCATGTCCAACACAGATCCACATTCTTCACAGTCGTTCAGGGTAGTAATCAAGATAGCTTCTCCTCAAGAATTCATCCTCAGTAATCAGTAACTTCTTCAGTCAGTCGTCAGTTATACTTCGTAGAAGTCTTACCTCTCGCAGAATTGGACCATTCACTCTGGCTGTCAAACACCAACTAACTCGGATCTTCTCTCTCACCTTCAAACCTTTCTCCCGTTTCCACGGGTGGTCATATTTCAACAAACAAACTTTATTCAAAGGGTTACAAATTGGGCACACAGGCCATCTGACATTCGGCCCTTCTAAGTACTCATTTTTCAGAGTACCAATACCTGTTATCAATAATGCATGTCATGGATATAATAAAGAAATATAAATTATAGAATAATGCATACACACATCATGTGTACACTATCGTACACACTCGCACACACGTATACATACTCCTACGTTCTCATACATATGAACTAATTCAAACAAGGGGATTTGCGAGTGTTCCCTTCTCGGCTTCTTCTCAAGTGACTGACCCTGGACCTACCACGTCATATAAGAAACCCTTTGGGAAATCCGATCATTAGACTCTGGGTTTCATTCTCACTAGGGGGCTGAACCATTTCAGTCTTTGTTCCTCAATTAATCTAGCGATAGGTATTATTCCAATAGTTCATCAAACTTTTTCATTCCTTACACAATTTCTTCTGGTTTTTATCACAGCCTTTCTCAGATTGGTGTTTAGTTTTCTCATGTTGTTGTTGTTTGCTGTTTGCGTTCACCGGCTGTAAACCCCAGCGGAAAGACCGGGTTGTTCATCCATTTCTGGACTTTGGCTTTGTTTTAGAACCTGAGTTTTTGCATGTGCATCCATTTTACAGATCTTGCTTATTTGTGTGCAGACTGTTGGTTCCTTGCCTCACAGGCAGATGCACTCTGCATGCAAATAAACCAGTTCTGTAAAGCAGATATACATGCACCACTCAGGTTCTGGATCAAGACTAAAGACGAGAGGTGGATGAACAACCAGAACTTTGCGCTCGAGTTAACAGCTGTGGAGCGCAAAGAAGAAGAATATGATTTCTTTGTAATGACAATTTGGAGGTCATTTAAAAAAAAAGATTTGTAATGCACTACAACAGTGACTGTCAACCTTCCTAATGTTGCAACCCTTAAATACAGTTCCTCATACTTTGGTGACCCCCAAACATACAATTATTTTCATTGCTACTCCATTATTTCAATGAATATGTGTTTTCCTATGGTCTTAAGTGACCCTTGTGAAAGGGTAGTTTGACCCAAAAATGGGTCACCACCCAAAGGTTGAAAACAGCTAAGCTAAAGGGTTAAGACATCTTCATTACACTTTCTACGTCTGCAGGTATAATCGGCGGCAGTTGGACATAGAATTCTGCAAAAACCTGCAAGAGTGCCATGTGTGTTACTGCGAGAAACCTGGTGAAAAATTTTTCCGTTTGTTTGAGTGCAAGCATCACTTCTGCCGGGACTGTATGGCCGATTTTTGCTTGATGCATGTTCAACAAGGCACAGTTGAAGCACTCAAGTAAGATTTGGTTTTTATGTATGTAGATAGAGATCTGGTTTGTTCAGTTTCATTTTAAGGATTAAAAGGGATTATAGTTTAGAGGATTGACTTCCTTGCACTGTTTTATATTACCATGTGGCCCAGTCTCTCTCTACAGAATGCAAAGCCACCTGCCAAGAAGGGCAGACAGAGCTTAAACTCTGTTGCCCAGCAACATTTACTGCGAATCTGTATAAAAATTGCACTTGTGAACTGAATGATGCCTAGAGCCTAAAGAATAAACCCAAAATGAATCTGTTGCCTTATGCAGTCATCCCTGTCACTGTGGCTTATGGAAAAAAATTGGATATCAGCTTAGCAACTTGGCTTTAAATAAGCTTTGGGGTCATAAGGGAAAACATTCCCTCCCCCCCCCCCACCCCCTCATCATTACTTTTTTTTTTAAAGTTACTATATTCCTGTCCTGGCTTAATAAGTTGAGTTGAATGAAGAATTTACATCACAGCACTCGGGGCATTCCCATGTGTGCTCCGTCCTCATCTTCAGCAGCCAGTGCAGAGTTCCAATACTGATGGTACGGGTCACAATCTGGTTATTTGTCAGTCTTGCCTTTCCTCTGAGTGTAGTGAGCCGGCTAGACCCATTGGTTACACCCAGATGCCTTTCTCTCCGGCCAGAATTATCTTCTCTCTCTGCTAATTCTGTTGCTTGTTCCCAAAGGGCCTTGACCACATTTGCCTTGTCATGTATCACTTCACCACATCCAACCTGTCTTCCTTTCCAGTAAAGCTTGCCACTCTGCTCGAAGCATCCCTGTCTTCACCTTTCTCAGCATGCTTTCAGAATCTGTTACAATTGTGACATGTCCTGGCCAATTAAAAACTGGAAAGGTGCACATAGGACTAATGGGGTTTCACCACGCTTTTCAAGAGTCCTCATCTGTGGCTTAGGCATTATGAACACGCTTCATAATGCCAGGATGCTAGGTTAAATCCCTGCTGCAGATGATTTGGCAGCAGACTGCCTTGCATTGGTTTTAACAGTGGAATCAAGAGCCGATCATTTGGTAAAAAATGGCAAACTACTAAATATAAATTTGCCTAGAAAAACTGGGGTAAAGAATGCTGGGGTTGGATCTGCAATTTCCTGTAAAGGATACGCAACTAAACTTTTTTTTGAGAACAGGTCATTGCAGACATGACCTTATGTCAGCATTTACAGCACTGTGTCAATGATGGAAGTGACCAGATTTCGTCTTCTCTAGGAAACAGGGTTAAATACATTTATTATCCAATGTTGTGCCTTAGGCTGGCTTTTAAATCTGTCAATTCCTCCCAAAATGTTTGATTTTCTTTCAGTGTAGTAATGTTTTTCCTTTTCCTTCTTCATTTAGTGCTTTAGTCACAGTTCACTGGAATAATTTCTTAAAATCTTTAGCTCAAAATTCCTACTGAGTTAGGACTGTGCCTTGCATTTAAATACTCTGCATATACGTTTACCCCTAGTTTTGTAATAATTTTTCTTAAGACTCAAAATTTGACTTATATGCCACAATTTCTTTCATCTTCTTTATTAATGTTCCTAAAAATAATCACAGAAAAAAACAATAACAGCCAGATTGTGCTTCCATAGATGTCCTGACAGGGGATGCAACACCATCATCCCTCCTTATATTGTTCAAGCAGTTATGGGCCCTGAGGCATACCAGAGATGGGAACAGCTGCTGTTACAGGTAAAGTGTTCGTAATTCTACCAAGTCCTTACCTACACCAGACTAGAGGGTACACCAATCCACCAGTCTCATCATCGTGTAGCAGGTCCTTTGCAGATCATTGCGCTCATCACAGTCTGCCTGAAAGGAACTTGATCTCCCGCCTCGTGCACTTTCCAATCCAAGGAGTCACTTATATCCTGTGCCCATCTTCATGTTGGTCGGCCTCTGCCCCTCCTTCCTAATACCATACTTGCTGCAACTTTTGGTGCTTGATGTGGCCAAAATATTTCATCTTCCAAGGCAAGATGCTTTTTACTAGTCATTCTCCCTTGATGATCCAAACTCTTAAGATGTTGGCATTTCTTTGTTTATGTTCAGATCTTTAAGGGATAATCTGTATTTATGTTCTTCTTTGTCCATAGTTTTTTGGAGAATCTTTCTTTAGCATTTCACTTCAAAAGCTGCTATTTTCTTTCCTAACGAGAAACCTCGACATAATGATCAAAGTCTGAAAAAAAGTGCAAGAATTTAAATACTTATGAAGTATCTTTAAAAAACAAAGGTAAAATAGACAGAGAGATAAAAACAAGAATCCAACAAGCCAACAATGTCATGTACCAACTTGCTCCAGTTTCTAAACACCCTGCTATACCAACAGAGACAAAAAGACACATTATAAATACAGTATTAATACTGACTTTAGGTTACCAATGTCAGACTTAGACATTGACAAAAAACACGAGAGAGAACTAACCAGATGAGTTGAGATGTTTGAGAATAGCTGTGAATAAAACCAGAAGAAATCAAGTAAGAAATGGTATGATCACAAGAACTGTTGGAACAACACCCATCGTCAAATTTATTGAGAAACAAAGAATAAAATGGTTTGGCCATCTAATAAGAATGAAACCAATGATGCCAGCAGCAAGAGCGTACAACCTGAAAATTGAAACACCAGGAGGCAGGGGAGGATTGAAAAGATATTAGATTGAAGGAGTCACTGACACCTTGAGACTGCATAACATCACGGCATATCAAGCGACCGAGCACCCCCTGCTTCGCCTGCAGATCGTCTGATGAACTACGACGCCTAGCAGCATTAGCAGATTTTGAAAAAATGAAAAAAGAAGAAGAAGAACTGGGAGATTGTCCACAACTCACATCCATATGTTGCTTCAGGGAAGTTGAGTTGAGTTAAGAATTGACATCACAGCACTCAGGGCATTCCGTCCTCATCTTCATCAGCCAGCGCAGAGTTCCAATTCTGATGGTACCGGTCACAATCTGGTTATATGTTCCTCTTGCCTTTTCTCTGAGTTTAGTGAGCCGGCAAGACCCTCTGTTTACACCCAGGTGACTCATCATCTCCAGGCCATAATAATCTTGTTTCTCTACTAATTCTGTTGCTTGTTCCCAAAGGGCCTTGACCACATCTGCCTTGTCATGTATCAATTCACCACCCAGTGGTGCAGATCCAGCCAATCTGTCTGCCTGTTGATTACCCACTACGCCGGCATAGCCTGGATAAAAGATCCAAAGTATGCTCACTACCCGTGACCTTCCCAGTGAAGCTTTCCACTCAGGGAAGATGACTGCTCTCAAAACATGATTCGCTTGGTAGTGCTAAACCATAGACTTACTTACTAATATATATATAAACACATTTTCTTTTAGAGACTGTTTATATTTGTATAAATGCCATTTTATTCTCCAGAAAACCCTGGATGCAATGTCCGACACTGTTTACTGTCCACGATGTAATAGTTTAGTGATTACAGAAGCTGAAGAGGAGCTTCATTTAGCTCGTTGTCCACAGTGTTTCTTTGCATTTTGTACGGAGTGCCAGCAGGGGTGGCATCAGGTGAGTACATACAGTAGCTTTTGGGGCTGTTATCATCATCATCATCTTCTCCCCCTTCTCCTTCTTCCTCTTCTTTTTCTTCTTCTTCTTTTTTTTCTTCTTCTACTCCTTCTTCTTCTTCTCCTCATCCTTCTCCATCTTCCTCAGTGCTGTTCAAGTTATTTAGTAAGTTTGAAGTAACAGGTTGCTTAACAAGTTTGAAGTAACATTTTATTTAACAAGCTTGAAGTAACATGTTATTTTACAGGTTTGAAGTAACAAGTCATTTAACAAGTTTGAAGTAACAAGTTTATCAAACAAGTGTGAAGTAACGAGTTAATGAAGTAACAACTATCTAAGGCTGAAAGTGTTAACAGTATCTGGTATCCGTATTTATAAATTCAAAGCAGTCCAAGAAAAAATATAGTTCTCTAGCTGGGTAGGAAACTTTGATGTTGGTGTCAGTAAGCCAGGACAGCGACCACATCAGTATTGTGTGTCCATAATCCATGTGTTCATGTATTTAAGCTGTGGGCAGGACATTGGGATCATAAAGGACCCCTGAAACCCTCCCCCCCCCCCACCCACCCACCCACCCAAAAAAAAGACAGGTAAAAGAGATTTTATCATGAGAGCTAATAGACTGAAATGCTTAGGGCATATTGAAAGAATGTCAGATGACAGAGAAGTAAAAACTGAATACACAAGGGAGATGAATGGTCATAGACAAGAGGCACACCAAGAAGATGATGGAGAGTTAATGTCCAGGCAGACCTGCAAACACTTGGTGTCACCAATTTGAAAGAGAAGGCCAACCAGAGAGATGAATGGAGGCGGGTGATATTTGCACAAATGAACCTCAAGGGCTCGGAATGCTGAAGAAGGCCAACCAGAGAGATGAATGGAGGCGGGTGATATCTGCAGCAATGAACCTCAAGGGCTCGGAATGCTGAAGAAGGCCAACCAGAGAGATGAATGGAGGCGGGTGATATCTGCAGCAATGAAGCTCAAGGGCTCGGAATACTGAAGAAGGCCAACCAGAGAGATGAATGGAGGCGGGTGATATCTGCAGCAATGAACCTCAAGGGCTCGGAATGCTGAAGAAGGCCAACCAGAGAGATGAACGGAGGCGGGTGATATCTGCAGCAATGAAGCTCAAGGGCTCGGAATGCTGAAGAAGGCCAACCAGAGAGATGAATGGAGGCGGGTGATATCTGCAGCAATGAACCTCAAGGGCTCAGAATGCTGAAGAAGGCCAACCAGAGAGATGAATGGAGGCGGGTGATATCTGCAGCAATGAACCTCAAGGGCTTGGAATGCTGAAGAAGGCCAACAAGAGAGATGAATGGAGGCGGGTGATATCTGCAGCAATGAACCTCAAGGGCTCGGAATGCTGAAGAAGAAGAAGAAGAATAAAAGATTTTGCCACCAGTGACTGTGGGGCAGCTACACAAGACTCCTGAACGTGTACTGCAAGCCTGCCCTGTGTACTTCTGGCTGATGTTGGGGATCTGGCCAAAGAGAGCTAGTAGCTGCATTGCAAGACACACTGTGGGGGAACCAGCAGTGACCTTAGATACACTATTATATTTGTGACCAAGACAGGATTGAATGTTTAGCATGGCTGATTTTAAATGCAGACGTTTGTCTGACTTTTCTTACTGTCAACAGGGTCGGAATTGTGTGTCAGATGAACAGGTACTGGAAGATATTCAAAAGAAAGCCCCAACTGGATTGAGCAGAGAGGAAGAAAAGAAATATCAGGAGCTGAAGAGAAAAGCTGAAGAAGAAATGAAAAGCAGAATGCTTATGAAAAACAACATAAGAAATTGTCCTAATTGCAGAATACGTGTAGAAAAAGATGGAGGGTAAGAACAGTTTGCCTGGTTTTCTAAAACTTACTACCATTTATGTTTAATGCTTGATAGTTTTTTTATAATAATTTTTTCCTAATTCTTTTAGTGCCAGAAGACTTGGCAGCCAATGAAAAATTGGAAATTCCACATTAAAAATCAAAATTTTGAGTATTTTCTTCATTACTGTTCCTAAAAAAAATAATTAAAAGAATTCTTTGAGAAACATAACAGCAGGTTTAAGCGCAAGATATGAATAACAGTAGGCAAAACATTATGAAAATTAAACTGAGGCTAAACGCAATTGAATGGCCACTTAGGTGGCCAGATTTTCTTATATTCTCCGACCTAAATTAGTATGTACAATCCCTGTGAGGGTTGCGGGGCCCTATTGTGGGAAAAACAATAGACATGCTGCCTACCCAGAAGCATGGCATAGGAGTCGACTAACTAGGAGCTTTCTTCAAAGTCTGAATGCATATGCCTGAGAGACAAGGAACCAGCAAGTTGCATACAAATATCCAGATCTGTTTATCAGATGTGCATGCAACATTCAGGTTATGGAGCAAGATTAAAGTCCTCAGGTGGACGGATAACCAGTGTTTTGCTCTGGAGTTTACAGCTGGTGAACGCAAAGAAGAAGAATATGTAAGAGAACACACTGATTGATTGTTGAGACACAGTAGTGGGATCCCATCACATACTGTGTTTTGTCTAAGGCTGAACAAGTTAAATACTTGACACAGAATGGGTTAATATAATAAAAGAATAGAACAAATAAAGTTAAAACAGAAGTGATGACATTCTCCAGAAAAGTAAGAACCACCAATATCAAAATTGATGAACACCTGTTGAAGCAGGTGAAAGATTTTACTTACCTGGGGGGCATTTTTTCAGAAGACGGAAGAATTAATAAAGAAATCCAACAAAGATGCAGTAAAGCCAATCAAGTTTTAGACCAAATGGCACCAATTAGGAAATGCAAGCATTAGAATAAAGACTCTAAAAGAACACTGTTGAACACAATATTCTTACCAACACTCAATGTCAAACATGGACACGCTCTTCAGAAGAAAGAAGGAAAAAAGTCACGATAGAATTGAAATGTTTACTTACTATGCTCGGTGTAACGAGGAAAGATCGACTTAGGAACGATGATAGCATAAGGAGAATCGACAAAGAACCAATACTGAACTTTTTAGGTAGACAACAAATCACATGGTTTGGATATGTAACAAGATTGAAGATTGGCATTAGACAGCACATCTCAGAGAGCAATGTTATACAGATACAGTGGTAACAAAACCAGAGGTCGACCACTCAGAAGAAGGACCTCAGAAATATCGACGACGCTAAAAAGTACTTTATATGAAGCAAACAGAAGGGCCAGTTCTACACTTACACTGCAAGGCATTCTAGGAGTGAAGAAAAGACCGAAAGAAGAAAATACAGTTGTGAAAACTTATACAATGTATGGAGTAATCTGTTAACATGTACTTTTACTTGAGCAGGTGCAAGGAGTAATCTGTTAACATGTACTTTTACTTGAGCAGTTGCAAGGAGTAATCTGTTAACATGTACTTTTACTTGAGCAGGTGCAAGGAGTAATCTGTTAACATGTACTTTTACTTGAGCAGGTGCAACAAAATGTCCTGCAAGTGTGGCACACATTTTTGTTGGATGTGTGGGAAAAAGATCGAAGGGTACAACCATTTTGACAAGACAAGTTGTATCCTATTTCCTGGACAGAACCTGCCAAACATTGTTGAAGTTGCTAGAGGCCCACCTCCAGAAGTAAGTGATTATTTTTTTTTTGCTCTAGAAAATGTCTTTTTTCTTCTTCTTTCCCCAAGTCCGTCTAACTACTCTATTTTTTAAAGTCTATCTAACTTCTCTGTCTAATTTCCAGAGGAAAGTTATTATTTGTTTAAACTCTTGAAAAAGTCTTTTTTAAGAAGTCTGTCTAACTGTTCCACCTGCAGAGATAAGTGATTATTTTGTAAGTCTAGAAAATGTCTATTTTTAAAGTCTGTCTAACTGCTCCACGTACAGAGAAATCATTTTTAAAACCCAGAAAATGCCTAAAGTACTGCTTTGTGTCCCTGTCACTCTGGTCTGATTCTGGAGGTAATCAGTCAGTCATTGTAACCCTTGACCCCTTAGGGTCATGGAGGCGTATCAGTGGAAGCACCAGGATACAAAACCGGCCATCTTTCTCTGTCATCAACTTGTTTGACAAGTATTTAGTTATTTAGTCCTGTCCATGTCTTGATGTTATTCCATGTTCTTCTTTGTCCCCAATCTTCTTTGACTAACCCCCATGTGACGTGTAGTAGAGTCTTTGCAATCAAATCATGTCTCATGTATTTTATAAAGTCTGTCTGTCTGGTTTACCTCAGTGGGTTACTCATTTGTAAACTTCATAAAATTACTTTAAAACATACTGTTCAGACTTTCTGGTCACCTTTAGAAGTAATCAATTTTTAAAACTTAGTTACTTATATTGTCTTAAGATCCGCTCTGACTATATTTTTTTGCCTTCTGAAGTAAATCATATTTCAAATTCCAGAAAATGTTGTTTCTAAAGTCTGTCTCATCCCCCTATAGAGAAATCATTTTGTAGTAGTTGTTTTTTAAAGTACTGTTCTGTTTATTTATTTTTTCCTATATTTAGATAAGTATAAAAAACGTTTATACAACTGTTCAAGACGGGACCCATGTGCAAGGTTGACAACACCATCAAGTCAGCCCAGAATGCACTGAAAATGAAGGAAATAATGGGGTACACACAGACAGACTGGCGGCTTTGGAAAGGGTTGTCCAAGGCTGAGCCATGGATTACAGAGACTGGGTGGTACAGGAAATCAGGGGCACTGAGGATGACAAGTGAGTCCAAATGGAGCTCAGCAGGCATAGCATGGCCTGTAGACAGGCTGTTAGAGGATCCTTAAAAGGTCCCTATCCTCGACCGATGTATGGTGCATTGCTGGGCCTTGGTTTAGCATCTTTTTCAAGTCTGTGTACGATGTCCTGCCATCCTCTACAAATCTGGGCAAGTGGGATGAAACATCATACCATCTATGTGGACTGAAACAGACATGTGAGCATGTGCTACCAACGTGCATGACAGCCTAATACCAAGGGCAGTGAGGGCTGGAGATACAATAAGGTCCTTATTGAATTGGCCACCAGGCGAGAATCAAGACCAAAGAATCACTGCAAGGGACCAACCCCTGTATTTCCTCAAAGCAGGGCAAAAAACCAAATAACTGCACCACATGTATCTCTTCCGTCCTTGTCAGTCACAAGAGAAGTGCAAAGAGATAAATACCTGGATGGGACATTTCATATTGTGATCGTGTCACAGTAAGAGGTCTACACTCACTGTTTGTTAGCAGTTTGTCAGTGCTGATTGTGAAACGCTTTCCCAGATTGTCAGAGCAGATGGATGGAGTGAGACAAGAACATTAACCTGATTCTGTTGATTGTGTGAGACGGTAAAACATGACAGCCTATGTTTACTGGCACGACACATGATGATGTATTGTATCTTTCCAGGCTGTGCTACAGATGCAAGCACGGTTAGCTGTGAACCCAGCCCTGGCCCTCAATCGCATCTTCTGTCCCACATGTAAACAGATGAACCTCAAGGGTTTAGACAACAACAATCACATCAAATGTTGGAACTGCAAGAGAAGCTTCTGCTTCTTGTGCAAGCAGAAGATTGCTGGCGTTGTCATGGAGCACTTTAGGGGTCCTTGTCTTCAACACTCGTAGCCCATTGTTCGAGCTTGCAGGCCATTGGGCATAACTAAGTACAATGCATTATATTAGCTTATAGAAACTGTAGAATGTGTGGTTCTGTGGTTTGTGAATGTGTTTAACAGTTTTATGATCTAGAAGACGAGGGTTTCATTTCTTTAGTGCATTATTTTGCAAACTTTTTTTCGCTGCGGCACTCTTGTCGTGCAGAAAACATTTGCTGCACACCTACCCTTAAAGCGGCTTGAATACTTAGGAAAAGAAGAAAAAACAGATTGTTCAATTGTTTTTAATGAAACGTTTAGATGAATTTTTCATTATTTCCTTTATGTTTATGGGAAGTTTACTTAATTGTACCCTCAAATCGCTTGAAGGTTGTTCCCGTTTTTTTTAATGTAAGCATATGTTGAGAATGCACTGCAGCCTTGCCACTAGCATTGTTTCCTGAATACACCTGTATTCAAATTCTTGTTGGCTTCATTCATGGTATTTCTGTTTTAAACTGTTGTCCTTGCTGATCTCAAGCAGATGTTGACAAATTCTTGATTATTGCCATGGAACCCCTAGAGGAATAGACTGTGAGCCCTATGTGATATATATAATGGCACAAGACGACAAAGAATGAATGAATGGTTTTCACACAATAGTATGAGAGTTGTACCTTGGAAGAAATATGAGTCTTACCACATAATATTTCCAAAGACAGCAGTGGAGACACTGAATGTGAAGTGTGGATACAGTGGGTACACTGAATGTGAAGTGTGGATACACTGAATGTGAAGTGTGGATACAGTGGGTACACTGAATGAAAAGTGTGGATACAGTGGGTACACGGAACAAAATGTGTGGATACAGTGGATACACTGAATGTGAAGTATGGATACACTGAATGTGAAGTGTGGATACAGTGGATACACTGAATGTGAAGTATGGATACTGTGTACACACTGACTGTGATATGTGGTTACAGTAAATACACTGAATGTGAAGTGTGAATACAGAGGATACTCTGAATGTGAAGTGTGGATACAATGGATACTCTGAATGTGAAGTGTGGATACAGTGGATACACTAATGTTAAGAGTGGATACAATGGATTCACTGAAGTCAACCTTCATTGTGAAGACGACAAAGAATATTTTTTTTTAAAGGAATGGTTTGAGATGGTTTAAAAAGAAAAAGAAGCTTAACTCTTTCAGAAGAAATTTTTGTAGGAGATGTCTATGGAGAAATAATGATGATTAAAATTCACC